GTAAACTGCACCGTAAGCAAAACCAAAAGTGTGGGGAAAATGGAAAGTGTGGGGAAGCCCTTAATGGACTGATGTGGAATGATTTCCAAGGTAGAGTGCTAAGTAAAAAAAGAAGAATGTGAATACTATACTACCATTTGTTTTAAAAATTAATGTACAAGCATATGTACATACATGATTTTAAATATATAGAAAACCTCAGAAGAAAAGTAGTTTATGAGACCGGTACCACTGGTGGCCTCTGGGAAGGAGAAAGGAAAAAGGGATGGAAGGAAGACTTAAGGTTCCACTGAATACTCTTCTGTGCCTTTTTAAATTTTGTACCATATGCATGTTATACAACCAAAAATAAAATAATTCACTTTTAGAACAATTCTGGATCTACTATTTACTAGTAAATGATGCTAAGTCCTTAGCCTTGGTTTCCTTATCTGTAAAAAAACCTTCCATAGGATTGCGATGTTAAACAGAGTAATGCATAGAAATTACCAAGTATGATGCCCACCTGTTAAGTAATCAATATTTATTAACTACTGTTATCAGAGTTACAATCAAATATATTATTATGGTTTATTACCTTGTAAGGTAATTGTGAGAATGAGCTAAAATAATACATATTTGATACATTCGCACAGTACCTGGCACACAGTTTGTGTGTCGGGGGGGGGGGTTAACTTGGTGCAAATATGTGTATGCATCTATATATCTTTATTAAAGAGAATTAGGATCATATTCTACATACTGTTTTGAAACCGATTATTGGTAGCAGTACATGTTAAGCATTTTTCCTGGAATGTTCATTATCAGGAACACTCATACCTCAGGGCGATAATGCTAGATCAGCAGTGCGCTCTGGGAGGGGCACTGTGTGGCAGCAGTTCCTAGCAGCAGTGCAGAAGGACTGCAGCCTCCCTGTGTCATCAGCATGTGAGGCAGTGGGATGCCCCTGGGAGCCTGCAGTCTAGTGCCACTTGCTAGCCCTGAGTTGTCAGACAGGCTACTTAAAACTCTGAGCCTTCCACCTCCAGCATTCTCTTGAATCAGCCGTAATTTAAAGTGACAAACTGTCTTGGAGGTGTGGCGGGGGTGTTCAACAAATAAATTATTCATTGCTCCCAATGTTTTGAATTAATCCAGTAGTATCCATAATGAGGTATGTGCATGAAGATCCATCAGGGGTAAAAAAGGTTAGAACTTCGTGTTTCTGTTTATCTTTAATTTCACTCTTTTCTTATCTCTATTTTTTTGTATATCTTAAAATATATTAACAGTACCACCTTTTTGTAATAATAAGTAAAAATTTGTAACTTGAGGATGCATGCTCAAATTCTTTTTACTGAACGAAATACACAAATTTGTATGCAGGGGCATTATTTCCATCTGGTGGCTAGTTGTGTGGTAGAAATTAATTTTTCCTTCTCAGAGATTGTAGACCAATCAAATCAGTAGATTGATTTGACCTAACTTTGAACCTTAATCTCAAAAGATGGAGGAGTAGTTTGCCAATTTAATGCTCTTTCACAGTTTACTTCTAGGACATCACAAAAGGATTACTTAAGTAATCGTAGTAGTAATATCACATTGTGTTTTACAAAGCTTTCTAGTGCCTTATAAATAATACAGAAACGAACTGAGGCAATGGAATACTTGTGATTATAATCAATAGATATAATAATTATGAATAATGGTTTTCAAATGTAAGTGTTTCATATGAGCATTAATCATGATATTAAAGTTTGGTGTACATTTACAAGGGAAAAAGATAGTTGAGGTTTTGTAAAAGCGGAAAAACACTAGCTTTAAAAATGTAAAGAGTTTCAACCTCCCTAGTAATCAGAAGTGATTACTAAATGCACATTAACTGCAAATGCACATTGAAAGGTTAAAGTACAATTTCTTGCCCATCACATTGGCAGAAATGTTAAAGTGTGATGATTATCCAGGGTTGGTGAGGATGTGGGGTTGCTCTGGTGCAGTGGTATAATTTGGTACATCCATTTGGGAGGCTAATTTGGCAGCATTGTCAGAGATTTAAAATGCTCATGCCATTTGGTGTCTCCCGATCTGCCGTAGGGAAACCCTCTTACACAAAGAGGCATGTACCATCATGTTTATTGCAGAACCCATGTTAATAGCAAACAGGTGAAGAAAGCCATCAGTGGGAGAATAGTTAAAAAATTGTGACTTTTAAAAAATTAAAATATAATTCATGTACCATAAAAACTTTACAATTTTAAAGTGAAGTATTCTGTGCTTGTATTCACAGGATTGTACAACCATCATCACTGCCTAATTACAGAATGTTTTCATCACCCTCAAAAAGAAACCCTCTACTCATTAGCAGTCACTTCCCATTCCCTCTTCCCCCTTCCTCTGGAAACCACTAACCTAATTCCTGTCTCTGTAGATTTGCCTCTTCTAGATGTTTCACATAAATGGAATCTTACAATCTATGACCTTTTTTTTTTATTAAGGTATTATTGATACACTCTTATGAATGTTTCACATGAAAAACAATGTGGTTACTACATTCATATTACCAAGTCCCCGCCCATACCCCATTGTAGTCACTGTCCACCAGTATAGTAAGATCTATAGCCTTTTTTAAAAATAACAGTTTTATTGAGATATAATTCACATTCCTTACAAGTTACCCATTTTTCTAAAGTACAATTTAGTGGTTTTTAGTATATTCACAGGGTTGTGCAGCCATCACAACAATTGATTTTAGAACATTTTCATCAACCCAGAACCCATACCCTTTTAGCTGTCACCCCCACCTCCAACCTCCCCATTCCTAAGCAACTATTTCCGTCTCTCTAGATTTGCCTATTGTGGCCATTTCATACGATGGGTCATAATATGTCTCTTGTGTCTGGTTGCTTTCATTCAGCATATTTTCAGGATTCATCCAAGTTGCAGCATGTATCAGTGCTTCATTCCTTTTCATTGCCAGATAATATTCCATTGTGTAGATACACATTTTGTTTGTCCATTCATCAATTGATGGACATTTCAGGTGTTTCCACCTTTGGGCTACCATGACTAATGCTGACAGCAGACATGTATGTACAAGCTTCTGTGTGAACATGTTCTCAGTCCTCTTGGGTAGCCTTGCTGGGTCACATGGTAGCTCCCTCCCTTTCACTCTAAGGAATCACCAAGTGTTTTCCCATAGCGACTGCACCATTTTACATTCCCACCAGCAATGTGTGGGGGTCCCAGTTTCTATCCTTGCTAACACTTGTTTACTGTACTTTTTGTCATATCCATCCTAGTGGGTGTGAAGTAGTCTCTCACTGTGGTTTTGATTCCCATTTCCCAAAACTCTTTTCCTGTGCTTATTGGCTTTGGAGAATCATCTCTTCAATCTGTGATGTTTTTAGGCTATACTGCAGAGCTGTTAAAAGGAATGAGGCAGATCTCGATGTAATAATCCCTGACTTGATCTCCAAGACAACACTGAGCAAAATAGCATGTAGTGCAATTAGACATTACAGTATCATACGTTTATATGAATACACGCAGGTGTACCATGTGTGTACATACACCACCCCCATAGTGTAGGGTTAAATATAAATAACTACAGCGATAGAAAAGGATCTGGTGGAGTCCCCATACTTGTCAAGATTGGTTACCTTGGGGCAGGCAGAGAGAACTAAGATGGGAGTGAGGGATGGGATCTCATCAAAAGGGACTTTTGCCTTATTTATAACATTTGACAAAGTATTCATGAACTACTTGGTTAACAAAAAATTATATAAAACTCCTTGAAATATACATGCAGTTTGATAAGAAAAAAGAAGCAATTGGGGAATGCTAGCAGGAGAGGGGTTATAATCTGCTTTCACGTCACCTGGCTAGTGAATGTACAACTTTTGTTCTGAAGATATGGTCATTGACTCCCTTTATAGTTGAGATTTATTTTGTCTTGGTCTCTTTTTCAAAGTAATTTTACTATTTTAATAATACCTAATGATTCAAATGGTACAGAGGTATATACAGTTAAAATGACTTACCTCCTCTCTTCACCTCAACCCCCTCACCCCCCACAGCAAGTAGTGTTAATACAGCTCCCTTTCCTAACAAGTCTCTATATTTTGCTGGTGTCTCCTTGCACCACCCAGTAAGGTGCATTTCTTCAGCTTGCTGCTGTTGTTGATGGGGACAGGCTTCTTCCTCTGCAGGGGAAAGGGAAGTCTTTGTCCTTAAGCGTCGGTGCCAGTGGTCTGCAGGCTTGCTGTGTGTCACCCCCAACCAGAGATTGTGATTAAGTAGCTCTGGAGTTTTGCTCAGGTGTCTTTATTTTATACAAAGCTCCCGTAGTGGTTCTGATGGGCCAACAGGGTTGAGAATCATTTATCCGGTGAGTAACAGAGCAATCATAAATCGTACCCATGATGCTTCTTTGAGAATTATTTTTGGTTCCTTCTGAGAGAGTAATGAGCCTGTCAACTTTATGGAAACATGCCTGAACTTAGATGGCCTGTTTTGTTCCAGGAATTTCACAGAGTTTTTACTCTCAGTTATTTTCAGCATTGGGATTTTTTTCTCTGACCAAATACATAGAGCTGCCATCTGAGTCTGAAAAAGTGATCCTGGATTCTTTTTTGAAAATGGTAGGAATAAGTAGTACAATGCAAACTTAACTCGTAAGCTTCCTGCCATTTCACATTGAAAATGAGTAGATGTAACAAAAATGGCCAGTGTTAAATCTTCTGAGCCAGACAGATGGTCCTTGGGTCTTGTTCTGTAAAGCTTTTTCTTCCCCCCAGATTTTTGTAGACTCCATTATAGAATGTTTGCCTGCGATGCAAGTGAGGCTCATGTAGCTCATGAAGCTTCATTCTTAATTTGCATTTTTATGTTTTCATAAAATTTGCAGAAATCCATAAAAGCCATATAAAGACATTATAATAATCAGTTTTTGTAGGATAATAAACCCGAGTAATCTTTCTCTTATCTTAAATTTATGTTAAACTATACATTTTCTCTTCCAGGTATTCTTATGGGAGCAGTTATAAAAATTATAGAGTTTAAAAAACTGGCAAATTGGAAGGTAGGTTTGCCCAACTGTTTTATTTATTTATTATTATTAAGCTATCATTGATATACTCTCTTATGAAGGTTTCACAAGAAAAACAATATGGTTATTACATTCACCCTTATTATTGAGTCCCCTCCAAACCCCATTGCAGTCACTGTCCATCAGTGTAGTCCCTATTTGTCTTCTCTGAGCTACACTGTCTTCCCCGTGACCCCACTCACACCAGGTGCACCAATGATGATACCCCACAATCCCCTTCTCCCTCCCTCCCCACCCACCCTTCCCCTCCACCCTTCCCCTCCCCTCCCCCTTCCCCTCCCCTCCCCCTTTATAACCACTAGGCCCTTCTTGGAGTCCAGCTGTTCTTTTTTTAGCATAATTATAATTTTTATTGGTTGTTCTTTAGTTTTAATAACACCAGTGATTATGGTGGCTTTCTTACGGTTACTTTGAGTATCAGTGAAGTTTATATCATCCCATTAATTTTTTAACAATCTGTTATGATTGGGGTTGGTATCTTTATATCTGTGTTTTTTGAAACAGCATAAATCTCACACTATTTCAGGTTAACATGGGAGCAGTCAATGTTAATGTTGGTTATTCATTTGCATTTTTATAATCTTAGACTAACCTCCTGTATAATGGGGAAAAGCTAATTAGCATTAAACATTAAACTGTTTATTGCTCCCACTTCCATTCTGACAGCTGGACATAAAAAAACATACTTGTCCCGCACTGTAGAGCTTACGGGCTTATAGACTGCTTTACACGCTGTAGCTCCTGTTGTCCTCTTGACAACCACACGAGTTAGATTGACCACGCACGGTCCTCACCCTGTTTCTATAGATGAAGCAAGTGACTTCAAAGAGGTTGGAACATACCCAACATCACAGAGTTAGAAAGTGACTGAGTTGAGCCTTGTGTACAGACGCTCTGGCCTTACGGATTCTGTATTTTCTGCACTATACCATGCTGTCCTCAGTTTGTGGGTTTCCCACCCTTGTTTTTACACAATGGTCATTAGAGTGGGAGCATCATCTTGTGGCATGAGAACTAATCAAAATCCAAATTTCAACTTCAACTTGAGAATCCATATTCAGTAGAGAGATTGACAAGTGTATAATAAAATTGATTTTGTGGAGGGAAGTAAGGTTCATTGCAAAATATTAAAGAATTAGATGGTTAAAATCTGTCTCCTGAGCCACTCGTATGTTGGTACAGTTCCTAGGTGCTGGGATTAACTTACCTGTGAAACTGTAGAGTGTAAAATTTGCAAAGCACACTTCATAGTCTGACCTAAACACAACTTGAGTCAGTTATAAATAATACTCAGAAGATATTGTATGTATTAAATGAAGTCTTAGATGTGTATTAAGCTCCTAATACTCTAGAACTTCCCTCAGCTGAGGAAGGGACTGGGCAGGCCCCACTGGAGCGCACTGTGAATGGTATCTCCACCTTCCTGCGACTGGCGGAATTAGACCGCCCTCACAGTGGCTCATTCAAGGGCAGGAATGTTTGCCTGCGATGCAAGTGAGGCTCATGTAGCTCATGAAGCTTCATTCTTAATTTGCATTTTTATGTTTTCATAAAATTTGCAGAAATCCATAAAAGCCATATAAAGACATTATAATAATCAGTTTTTGTAGGATAATAAACCCGAGTAATCTTTCTCTTATCTTAAATTTATGTTAAACTATACATTTTCTCTTCCAGGTATTCTTATGGGAGCAGTTATAAAAATTATAGAGTTTAAAAAACTGGCAAATTGGAAGGTAGGTTTGCCCAACTGTTTTATTTATTTATTATTATTAAGCTATCATTGATATACTCTCTTATGAAGGTTTCACAAGAAAAACAATATGGTTATTACATTCACCCTTATTATTGAGTCCCCTCCAAACCCCATTGCAGTCACTGTCCATCAGTGTAGTCCCTATTTGTCTTCTCTGAGCTACACTGTCTTCCCCGTGACCCCACTCACACCAGGTGCACCAATGATGATACCCCACAATCCCCTTCTCCCTCCCTCCCCACCCACCCTTCCCCTCCACCCTTCCCCTCCCCTCCCCCTTCCCCTCCCCTCCCCCTTTATAACCACTAGGCCCTTCTTGGAGTCCAGCTGTTCTTTTTTTAGCATAATTATAATTTTTATTGGTTGTTCTTTAGTTTTAATAACACCAGTGATTATGGTGGCTTTCTTACGGTTACTTTGAGTATCAGTGAAGTTTATATCATCCCATTAATTTTTTAACAATCTGTTATGATTGGGGTTGGTATCTTTATATCTGTGTTTTTTGAAACAGCATAAATCTCACACTATTTCAGGTTAACATGGGAGCAGTCAATGTTAATGTTGGTTATTCATTTGCATTTTTATAATCTTAGACTAACCTCCTGTATAATGGGGAAAAGCTAATTAGCATTAAACATTAAACTGTTTATTGCTCCCACTTCCATTCTGACAGCTGGACATAAAAAAACATACTTGTCCCGCACTGTAGAGCTTACGGGCTTATAGACTGCTTTACACGCTGTAGCTCCTGTTGTCCTCTTGACAACCACACGAGTTAGATTGACCACGCACGGTCCTCACCCTGTTTCTATAGATGAAGCAAGTGACTTCAAAGAGGTTGGAACATACCCAACATCACAGAGTTAGAAAGTGACTGAGTTGAGCCTTGTGTACAGACGCTCTGGCCTTACGGATTCTGTATTTTCTGCACTATACCATGCTGTCCTCAGTTTGTGGGTTTCCCACCCTTGTTTTTACACAATGGTCATTAGAGTGGGAGCATCATCTTGTGGCATGAGAACTAATCAAAATCCAAATTTCAACTTCAACTTGAGAATCCATATTCAGTAGAGAGATTGACAAGTGTATAATAAAATTGATTTTGTGGAGGGAAGTAAGGTTCATTGCAAAATATTAAAGAATTAGATGGTTAAAATCTGTCTCCTGAGCCACTCGTATGTTGGTACAGTTCCTAGGTGCTGGGATTAACTTACCTGTGAAACTGTAGAGTGTAAAATTTGCAAAGCACACTTCATAGTCTGACCTAAACACAACTTGAGTCAGTTATAAATAATACTCAGAAGATATTGTATGTATTAAATGAAGTCTTAGATGTGTATTAAGCTCCTAATACTCTAGAACTTCCCTCAGCTGAGGAAGGGACTGGGCAGGCCCCACTGGAGCGCACTGTGAATGGTATCTCCACCTTCCTGCGACTGGCGGAATTAGACCGCCCTCACAGTGGCTCATTCAAGGGCAGGAGGCACAGACTGCAACCCTTTCTCTACTCCTAGACTGGATATAGCCTGATGTGTAGACACCACCCACTAACACATTTTGTTTGATTTAAAAACAATCAAACATTTTTAGTTTTATTTGAAAATGACTTATCTATGTAAAATTCTGAAAATTTCACATAAAAATCTGAACTTCTAGCTTCTCTTGAAGAGGCAGACACTCTGTTAACACCACAGACACATTCCACCCAGCAGAGATCTGAGGCAGTGAGCAGCAGCGGCTCCCTTGGGTAATGCTGAGCAGCCCTGGGAAGGCTGTGAGCTGGGACCCCTGCCCTTGAGTTGTGGGAGTAGGGGGAGGGGAAGTTATCTTGCACTGTTGGTTTTATATGCATCAAATTCTTCACTTTATTTTTCAATGGATGTTACTTTTCAATAAATAATAATAATATGCTTAATAGTACAGACAAGTGAACCAAAGGTGGGTTATGGATGCAATTAAGTGCCTGAAGAGCCATACGGAGCTTAACCTCAGAATCTGGCAAGGTTCTAGGCTGGAATAGTTGGGGCAGGCTTCCTGGAGTAACAGGTGTTTGTGGAAAGCCAAAGCCGGAAGCGGGACACCTGTTTCAACCTTGGGTGCCGCAGGAAGGCATGGGAGATAGGAAGAATAATGAAGGAGCTCGGTGTTTTCTTTCCATGTAGTTCTGTTTCTAAACTGTCTTGCTGGGCATGCCTTCTACTTGTATTGTCATATGGTTATTCTTTAAATCAAGTTGCTTTTTTATGTATATGTATTTTTTTGTAAAAGCTTTTTTTAAAGGCTTTTATTGTGGTAAAATATACATAATCAATTATCACTTTAGCTACTTTTAAGTGTACAATTCAGCAACATTAAGTACATTCACTATTTTGCATAATCATCACCACTATCCATTTCCAGAACTTTCATCATCCCAGACAGGAACTGCACATTAAAGAACTTCCCATTCCCTCCTCCCCACTTCCTATATTTTTTAGTATTTTCTGGTTTTTTTAGTAGCTATTCTACTTCCTGTCTTTGTGAAATTTACCTATTCCAGGTACTTCATATAAGTGGACTCCTACATTTGTGTTTTGGTGTCTGGCTTATTTCACCTAGCATGATGTTTTTAAGGTTCATCCACATTATAGCATGTATCACAGTTTCCTGCTTTATATAGCTGAATAATATCCCATTGCAGGTATATACACACTTTGTTTATCCATTCATCTGTTGATGGACCTTTGGGTTTTTCCACTTTTTGGCTATTTTGAATAATGCAGCTGTGAACTTCAGTACAGTAAATGCATTTATTTTAAAGGGAGCAGCCTAATACTGTGTGAAGTGGGAAACTAATATTGTTTTTATAAATAGTTAGGATAAAAGCAAAGTAGGACAGATGCCTGCTGAAGCCTCTGAGGCCAAATCTGTTCTGTCAAAAGGCAAGATCAGCACGTTGGAGAGAGGCTTTACACCCAATAGGACTAAACTGAGGTGTCTTAGTTGGGATTGAAAAGGAATCAGAAGGGGCTGAGTTTATCAGTCTGTGGGGTCGGTGGTATTTGATGGACACTGTTCAAGTACCACCTAAAATCACCTCAGACCATTTTGGGGGAGATGTTGCCAAAAGGAACCCAGGACTTTTCTGTAACACTATGCACTATAAGGTGGTATATGCACTTCCTGTGGCCGCTGTAACAAATTACCACACACGGGCTGGCTTAAAACAATAGAAATT